TAATATAGCGTCTCATTGTTCGCTTGTTCTTTGTCTTTTGAGTATAATAACACAATGTCTGCATGTAGAATCTCCATTACCACAAAAATCTACATACCAAGTCCATTTCAGAAAACGATATATTGAGAGTATCCACATCGCTGCCGTCGAACGATGAGCACAACATATTAATTGTCAACATATGGCGTTATTCAAGCGTGTGAGCGTGTCCTGTTCATAGCGATCGATATCATTGTGTTACGACTGCTTGTTATGAATTGCATTATAAAACGCGTCAATGATCTACATGATATTTAATCAGGTAAAATACATACATATTTCCATTTCACAGAATGACATATTATTAAGAACGTCAACATCGTCGAAATCCTCGATTTTCCCCTCTGTTCGTCGCTGCTTTCGGCCATGACTGCCCTGAAGTATCACAAATACTCTACCATACACGGGACAATAGTTTTGGGATAGGATGGTTCATATTTCACGAAGATTTTTAAGGATTGAAAACCGATACCCAGGAAACGTCACTTCTGCCCAGGAACCGACTATTATTCAGCAGGCCTTTCGTCGCCTTCCGTTCTTCCCTGATCTCAAATTTCACGCCCGCAAATTATTCCCGCCCGCATCGAAAGGCCTGCGGAGGAGGTAGTAAATATATGGAAATATTTTGCTTGGAACCCACGACTTTTTATTCGGGACCCACGATTTTTTACCCACGACCCACGCCTTTTTACCCACGACCCACGCCTTTTTACCCACGACCCACGCCTTTTTACCCACGACCCACGCCTTTTTACCCACGACCCACGCCTTTTTACCCACGACCCACGCCTTTTTACCCACGACCCACGCCTTTTTACCCACGACCCACGCCTTTTTACCCACGACCCACGCCTTTTTACCCACGACTTACGACTTTTTACCCACGACCCACGACTTTTTACCCACGACCCACGACATTCTACCCACGACCCACGACATTCTACCCACGACCCACGACCCACGACTGTTAGCTAGTCCCGATTTTTCATAGGGGGAGGGGGGGCTCAAATCCGAAAAAAAAATCGAGCATGTCTCGAATGGAAGAAAAAAAAATCGAACATCACTAATACCAGCAAAAAAAAATATCGAGCACAAAAAAAATTCTAAATTAGCAATACTCTATATTGAAAGAAAAATTCAGTTTCCCTTAG